TGTGTATGTGTGAGCGGTGGGGATGTGTGTGTTTGTTGTATGTATGCGGTGTGTGTGTTGTGTGTGTGTATGTGCTGTGTGTGTGTATTGGTTGCTGAGTGCATCGAGAGGCACGCTTGGAGCTCACATCCACACAACTTTGCCACGATTTTCACGCTTCGCGGTGGATGCTGTGCGTGCAGGACTTCTTCAACGAGCTGCCCGCCATCCTGACCAACTTCTTTGGGCTCTCGCAGTCGGACTCCTCCACAAACATGTTCACAAACAAGCGAACCGCAGCTTGTGCGGAGGTGAGCCACTGAGACGAGTTGCTCGCGTGCGTGTGGTCCCCTGCTCCGTGTGTAATCTCCATTCATCACACGTGTACTCAATGCGCTGACTTGCGCTCGTCGCTTCCTTCCTGCAGCACTTGTTCTACCCTGAGGGTCCGATCCTGTCGCACATCGAGCTCATCCAACGAGAGGGAAAGCGATACGGCCTTCCTCTCAAGTTCTTGCCGGTGCGTTCACGTGCGTGTGTGTTGCGTGTGTTTCGTGTGTTGCGTGTGTGTGTGTGTGTGTGTGTGTGTGTGTGTGTTGCGTGCACATGTGTACATGTGTGTGTGTTTGCTGCGTGTTGCGTGTGCTCTGCCCGCCGAGGCCCGTTCCTGTCAGTCAATGTGTCGCTTGTGAGAACATTCACCATCTCGTCTTTCACACGTGCAACGCGGTTTTCTCTTCCCCACAGCTGTTCTTCAGCACGAAACTGGCGATGGAAGCTGTTCCCCACCTGCCGCCCATCGTCCAGGCCATGCTCGCACAACCGGCCAACACCGCCAAGCTCGACCACCTCAGCCCACGTGCGTACATGAAGCGTCTGTTGTGTGTGAAGAACTCTGTGTATGTGGATGGATGATTGCGTGAGACTTTACTTGCATGTGTTTTCAGCTCAGGTGGCTCGACATTCCCTATTCCCCGCCTTTTCCGTACACACCACCTCATCTCTCCACTCCCCACTCCACGCACCATCCCCATACCCTCGTTGTCACCTTGCAGGTCCCTTTGCGTACTTCTACATCATGTACTGCATGCGGGCGCTGAAGAGCAGCGAGCGCGAGCGGCTCGAGTCATCGCAGAATGTCTACTACCGCCTCCTCGCTGCATTCCTCAACTACTACGTCCCAACCAAGGACAGGTGTGTGTGTGTATGTGTGTATGTGTGTGTGTGTGAGTGTGTGTATGTGTGTGTATGTGTGTGAGTGTGTGTATGTGTACGTGAGTGCGATTGCTTGCCAATGTGAGCTTACCGCTCCTGATCTGTCACCTCATTCGTCATTGCGTGTGTGCACACGTGTGCGCCTGTTTGCACTTCAAATCAGCAGCACCAGCGCCACCCAGCCGCCAACAGCCGCATCCGCCGCTCGCAGCGCAGGGAGCCCGTCCCTCCGAGGTGCTGCTGCTGCTGCTGATGATGATGATGCTGATGGTGATGATGATGCTGATGGTGATGATCATGGCCGCGTGTCCGAGCACATATCATATCATGACATCACCTTGAGCCAATTTGTTTATGTTATTCTCGACTGGCTCGCTCATTCATCCACCGTGCGACCATCCATCATGTGTACATATGTACAGCCGCTGGGACGGCGGCGCTGCAGAAGATCAACACGGCGACTCACGTCATGACAGAACAGGGTGCGCACGCCAGGGTGGTTGCTGAACAGGGTGCCTTGCAATGGCGGTGCCTGCGTGGTTGTGAAGAGCAGGGTGCAGTGAAGAGGGGCGTATGTGTGGGCAATGTCAAAGTTCCTCAATTCCGCCAGCGTACATCCCATCCCTTTTTGCTTTTCTCACATCGTGCACGCGTGTGTGCACGGCGCGCCACCCTGCTGTGTTGTGTTGTGCAATGGATTGGCAGGGTTCTCTGGCATCTCGAACATTGATCAGATCTGGCAAGCGTCCGCCCACGTGCGTACAGCGGAGGCAGTGCTGGCAATGTCGTGTGATGTGATGGGATGTGATGGGATGTGATGGGATGTGATGTGCAGGATGGTGCGCGTGTGTGGGTGTGGGTGTGGAGGGACAAGATACGCACGTTAACGAACACACACGTACACGCATCCATGTACATTCAAACAATCATCCACACACACACACACACACACACACACACACACACACACACACACACACACACACACACACACACACACACACACACACACACGCACGCACGCACGCACTGACTGCAGGCTGTGCAGCAAGTTGGCGGCCAGTGCACACGTGTTGAGCAGACGCACGCATTCCTGGCGACGGTGCTGGAGATGTGGCTCGGGCAATATCTCCTCCCAAACCCATCGGTACTGCTGGCGGAGTGCGCTGTTTTGAGGGGCGTATAGGGTGGGGGCATGTGGACGAAGGAAGGGGTGAGCTTGCAGGTTGGGGAAAGAGAGCGATTTGACGCAGTCGTGCCCTCACATGCACACACACACACACACACACATATATACACACACGCACGCAATCACATACACACACAAACACACACACATGCGATCCCACACACACCACCACCGCCCCACGGCGTGATGTCACTGCTAGCGGGCGAGTGTGACGCACGCTGCGTTGGTTGTGATGGTGGTGCGTTGGCTGCAGCGGTCGCTGTTCTACCACGCGCACGCCGTCGCACATCCAGACCAGCACCCGCCCGAGCACGCCCAGCTCATCAAGGCCAGATACAGGTGCGCTCGTCGTTGTGGCGGCGATGGTGGTGGTGGTGGTGGGATTGTACTGTTTTGTCAACATCTTGCATGTGCTGGAATAGTTCCGTGCGTGCGTGCGTGTGTGCGTGTGTGCGTGCGTGTGTTTTCGTGTTCTGTTCCTTTCATCTCAACCCCATCTCATCTCCATTCCACATCACCACCACCACCACCACCACCACCAACACCGCCACAACGACATCACAGCGTGATTCGCGGGTTGTACCGCCACTATCTTCCGGCCATCTGTGCGTTTGTGCACACGAACCTCCGCCCCCAGCACACCGCATGTCACCAGGTGCGCCAGCCAATCGTCATGGTGATGACAGTGGTGATGATTGATGGTGATGGTGACGTATTGTGGTCACGTGTTTGTATGTAGAGAGAAGCTTGTACATGTAGGGGTTTGTCGTGCGTGCGTGTGTGTGTGTGTGCGTGTGTGTGTGCGTGCGTGTGTGTGTGCGTGCGTGCGTGCGTGCGTGTGTGCGTGCGTGCGTGTGTTCCGCGACGACAGTCATTCGTTTCCATTGAGCGCGCACGCCAACACGACACCACCTGATCCAAACAATGATCACTGCAGGCGCTGGACTGCCTGTTGAAGATTCTCTCGCCGTGGAAGTACACATATCCGGACAAGTCGCCCATCACCCGCGAGGCAGCGTACGCGACATGCACACTCACAGATGCGTGCGTCTGCTTGAGATATTCTGCCGACACATCCTCTGCCCAACTCAATACTTCCCACCATACACTCACATCCACATTGACACACATACACACACACACACACACATGCACCTCCACACACCACCACGACGACCACCAGAGCTGAGCATGTGCGTGCGCACGTGTCGTTCTTCACGGTGCTGGCGCTGCAGGCGGTGGAGAACATTGCACACATGGACCTCGGATACGACGAGGCAAAGTCAGTAAACCCATCACAGTCGTGGTGGTGGTGATGTTGGTGATGGTGATGGTGATGATGATGGTGATGGTGATGGTGATGGTGAGGGATTGGAAGTTGCTGCGGCTTGTGATTGCACGCGTCTGTGCACCGGTACTTGTTCGTTGTGAAGTGACACCGCCGCCATGGCTCATGTGTGTGTGTGTGTGTGTGTGTGTGTGTGTGTGTGTGTGTGTGTGTGTGTGTGCTCAGGTGGCGTCGTGGAAAGGACGCATCCCTCAACTTGCTCGTCAAATTCCTCAAGTGAGTGATGGAACATACTGCCACCAGATCAGAACACACACACATGCATACACACATTCACACATGCATACATTCACACACACATGCACACATTCACACACACATGCACACATTCACACACACACACACATCCCCATCCATCCTTCCATGCCCCAACTCCCAACCCACCCCACCCCCTCTCACCTCCATATCACCCATGTGCCCCACCTCCGGCGCCCCTGCAGCGTGTTTCCGACACCAATTGCGCAAGTTACGGTGCAGTCGCTGATATCCGATGAGGAGGAGGCGTTTGTGACGTCATGGGGCCGCGAACGTGTCGCCACAGCCCTCCACGAACAGGTGATGATGGTGACAGGTCGTGATGGTGTTGCTGGATGACTGTGGCCACTGTTCGTTGTTCTACAGGGCGTGCGCGTGCGCTCTTGGCCCTCAGGGATGGCTGCTGTGTCCACTGCTGTCGTCGATCGGTGTCACAGTGTCACAACCTCACACATTCCCTCCCCCCTTGTTTTGTTCTATTCTCCTCTCCATGGTGAATAGCTCCAAGCGTTTGATCCGCGCGTGTTGCGGACGTTTGCTCCACTTTTCTTTCGTGACTCAGCACGAACGCCGGCCCAGCTGCAGCAGGCGGCGGCGCGTGCAGACAAGGCCATTGCCGCATCATGTACGTTTGTGCGCGTGTGTTGGTTATGTGTGTGTAAATGTGTGTGTGTGCGTGTGTGTGCGCGCGCGTGCATGTGTGTGTGTGTGCACGTGCGTCTACAGCAGGACATGGTACAAGTGTTCACGTAGCATCTTTGTCATCATGCGCCGCCCGTGTGTGCACGTGTTTTCGTGTGCTGTGTGCAGATGAAAGCGTGTCCCGAAACCTGCAACTCGCCAAGGAGCGGGAGCAGCAGCACATCAGCGCAGAAATCACGTGCGTAGAGTTGTGAATTTATGTTTGCGTGCGTGTGTGCGTGTGTGTGTGTGCGTGTGTGTGCGTGCGTGCGTGTGTGTGTTGTCTTGTCTTGTGCAGTGGATACCCGCATCACCCGCATCATCTTCACCACCCCCACCCACCTACTCAACTCTCCTCCCCCCCCCCCCAACACCACATTCCTCTGCAGGCCGCAGCGGCTGCTGCAGGAGCCGATGGCTGTCATCAATGACCTCTTCAATCCACGGCCCGCCCTCAACTTCCGCGCACACAGGTGCCGGTGCCGTGCACGTGATGATGTCTTGTCACTCGCAGTTCCACCCTCGTGCATGCGTGTGTGCTGCATCGCTCTGTACATGCACCTCTCACCTCCTTTATTCTCCCCCATTTGCTTCACCTCGCCCCCTGTCTTCCCCCTCCCCCCCCTCCATCTTTACTCTCCCCTTCTCTTAACGTCTACCCCCCCGCGCGCCTCTGGTGTGCAGGGCGTATCGAAAGACGCTGGCGTCCATCAAGTCCAGCATCGCCACGCTCTTCCCCGCAGCCGCCACCGCAGCGGTGAGACACAAGCACCGCCCAAGAGCAGCAGCCCAACACCTGTACACTGATATTGTTGTGGTGTGTGTTTTTCCTTCAACACCTGCTGCCGTTCCCTCCTTTCAACTGTCCTTTCTTCTGTCTGCTGCCATCACTGCACGCCACCATCCCACCGTCATTCAACCACATCTACTCGTCTTGTCCAATCGTATTCTCATCATGGCTTCCACCACACCATCAAACCAATCTTCATTTATTCACGCCTCCATAGGCTGCTGGCGATCGCGCGGCGCTCCTGCGACGAACGGCGTCCGGACACGTTGTCCAGCACGTCGATCGCAACGTCATCCGCGCCCGCTGGCTCGCACACTACGCTTCCATGAGGTGCGGGGATGGGGTTGTTGAGGGGGGGGGGTAAGGTGTTTGGGCTGTGTGTATGTGTGTGTGTATGTGTGTGTGTGTGTGAGCGGTGGAGGTTGGTTGCATTCAAGACGTTTTGAGACACAAGTAAACACACACACACATACATACACACACACACACACATACACACACGTAGGCGCCAGCCGGTTCGTTCGTTTGAGATTGGATTCCTCGTCCACATTCTCAACCGTCTCTCAACGTTCCTCAACGAGAAGGTGATGTAACACTCGAGTTGTAATTCCTGCACATGTGTACGTATGTGTACGTATGTTTTGGGCTGTATTCGGTAGACTTCATTTATTCACGCCTCCATAGGCTGCTGGCGATCGCGCGGCGCTCCTGCGACGAACGGCGTCCGGACACGTTGTCCAGCACGTCGATCGCAACGTCATCCGCGCCCGCTGGCTCGCACACTACGCTTCCATGAGGTGCGGGGATGGGGTTGTTGAGGGGGGGGGGGGTAAGTGTTTGGGCTGTGTGTATGTGTGTGTGTATGTGTGTGTGTGTGTGAGCGGTGGAGGTTGGTTGCATTCAAGACGTTTTGAGACACAAGTAAACACACACACACATACATACACACACACACACACATACACACACGTAGGCGCCAGCCGGTTCGTTCGTTTGAGATTGGATTCCTCGTCCACATTCTCAACCGTCTCTCAACGTTCCTCAACGAGAAGGTGATGTAACACTCGAGTTGTAATTCCTGCACATGTGTACGTATGTGTACGTATGTGTACGTGTGTGAGTGTGATTGTGATTGTGTGCCTGTCTTTCTTCTTCTTTTTCTCCTCACTGCTCTCGCTGTTCTCACTGTTACCACTGCCCCCACCGTCGCCATCGCCACCGCTGTGTGCCATCCCTGCACCAATCATCACTCCACCCCCTCGCTCACTCCACATCAGCTTGAGCACCGACCGTGGCTGTATTCGCACCTGGCACCGCATCAGCTTGAAGAGTATGTTGCGCAACACGCCATTCTGGATGACGGGCTGTTTGGGATTTGCCCCGCCCACGAGGTCGACCCCTCCACTCTCTTCCACATCTTCGTCACCCGCGACGGCATGGTGTGTTTTTGTGGCGCACGTGCAAGTGGCTGGTCGTACATGCGTGCACGCACGCACACGAGGGCTGTGCTGTGTTTGTATTGACACGTGTACTTTGTCCATGCTGACAACATGTCTTTTGTTGACTTGTAATTGCGTGCGTGCTCTCTTCCCCTCAAATGCGCTTCACACCAAATATCCACGTCACCAACCACAACCATGCATCCACACCACCACTCATCATTCACCACCAACCATGCATCCTTCACATCCATTCCCTTCCACCGTCGCCACCGCCACCCCACAGGTTGAGGCAGACACGTTGACTGCGACCGCTGACGGCGGCATCACGCTTGATGGCCATCTCCTGTTTGCAGACGTGGGCGAACTCGTCGCATTCTACAGAGTGAGAACACATCACCTGTGTGCGTGTGTGTGTGCGTGTGTGTGTGTTTTTGTGTGTAATGCTATGGTTTTCGGCGTGTTGTTCCCCTCCTCCTTGAACTTCTCATATCACCTTCCCCGTTGTTTCTCAACCACCTCCACGTTTTCGCAGCAATGTCCGTACTACATTGATCGCAGCGGCAAGGAATACGTGCTGAAGCCCATCCCGCACACGCCAGACGAGAACGAGGTGCCGTGGGCTCATGCCAGCACTTGAGTGACCGTGATTGCATAACCGTATGACTCAATTGTGGGCCTTTGACTTTGTTGTTACTGCTCTTTGGCTTTTCCTTGCAACAACCAATTGCTCACCACACACACACAACACAACACAACACACACCCTCACTCACACACAACACACACACACACACAACACACACACACATAACACACAACACAACACAACACAACACAACACAACACAACACAACACAACACAACACAACACAACACAACACAACACAACACATCACAACACGTGTGCAGCGTGCACCGACACCGCTTGAAGCAACGCTGCTGTCACTGCGCCGCAAGCTGTTCCCGATCAACTTGCGTCACGCAGCCGATGTGCGCATGTGGGCGTGGCTGCTGGTGCCCATGCTCGCCTGGTACCTAACGACGTCCGTCAGCATGGCTGCCTTTGTGCTGCTGCTTGTGGTGTTTGCCATGATTGTTGCCGGTGTTGTCGCCGTCGCTTCCACACCCGCGCCACACGCGTGACTCAAGGCGCCCACAGATGTCGGAAACGCACCATGCTTGATGTGTAGCAAGCACTCCCCGGCCCACAAATTCCTTGTTGAACTACTAGCTGTTTGGTTTGATGTGTTGTTCGTTGGGTGTATTGGTTGTTTTGGTCGTTTGTGCGCGTGCGTTTGTGTGTGCACGAGAGTGCGTTGGCCATGCAGTAAATTGCCAGCTACTGTCATGACGTCAGCAACACTCGGAACACATGAACACGCGACATGAACCAACATTGGGAATGCAGAAAATTGCCATGGACGGACATGTGTTGTGAAAAGAAAGTGAAAAGCCAGTCCATGTGTTGATGACAACGAAAGAAGAGCAACACAACAGTCGAGTTGTCGAAAGAAAACACAAAATCGTGGGAGCTGCGTTCAACCAGCAGCCGTAAACGAGAACGTGAGAGCATGTGGAAGAACAAGATTCATGGGGCGGTGGATGCAGGCAGATACAGAGAACATGCAGACTTGCTGCATCTTCTGTGCTCTGTCAGCACCCAAGCCACCTGTCATGAAGTGTCATGAACAGAATGTTGAAGAAGGTAAGAGCGAGGGTGAGAGGGGGGGGGGCACAAGGAAGCCGCCGAAAGGGATAACGTCGCGGGACGGCCAGAACGCAAATCACTGACAACGCAATACAACACGCACAGAACACTCGCAGAGAGTGTGTGCGTGTGAAACGTCAAGGTAGGAAATGGGGAACAGGGAGAGGAAAGAGAGAAAAAAAAAAGGACTCAGAGCGTGGTCAACCCGTCACTGTTGCCATACCGTCAAACATTGTGCTGAAGAGCGGGAAATTGGGCCACGACATGTGTGTCGTGTGACCACAAACCAGTTCCGTCAACAGCACAAGAACAACGGTTGGCAAAGGATACTGAGAAGTGGTTCAGGTGAGCGTGCGGACAAAACTCCTGTCCAAGTTGTCGTTCCCACACATTGCTGACACCATCAGCAAGCAATGAGGCAAAACAACAAATGGAACAGAGCAGAAGAGAAGGAGGGAAGAAGGGAAGGAAGGAGGGAAGGAAGAAGGGAAGGAAGAAGGGAAGGAAGAAGGGAAGAAAACTTGCATCAACAATGTGAACCACACATAAAGGATGCGGAACAGATCAACGAGAAGCAATGTCAGCTAGGGTGTGAAACAGATCGGCACATGCAATGCATCATGCCGTTTGAAGTCAAAGAGGTTGTTGATAAGGATGAAAAAGCAAAACAGAAGGAAACTGGGCACCAGCAATCGCCGCAGGCGCCACAAGATAAGAGGGCTGAAGAAGGACATTCTTGATGGTTGGGAGGGGGTACCGCAAGAACTGTGCAACGGCTCCAAACACAAATCAAGAAGAAAACAGAGCAAAGGCAAAGCGCGTGCGCCGTTTGCTCGGATGGTGCGTGGCTCTCGCCAGCAGACTCAGCACGGCCCAGCAACCTCAACCAGCATGCGCGCCAACGCGTTGTACACGTCGAGCAAGTGCGCCAGCTTGGCCCTGTACTGGACATTCGTTGCCCGCAGGTTGTGCAGGGTCTTGTTGAACTGCTCGTGCTTCTTTGCCTTGGCGATGCGGTCCTGCTTTCGCCGACGCGCCCTCTGCAGCGCCACGCGCAGGGCAGGCTGCCGCCGCTGCTTGAGAATCTGCGTGAGCTTCTTGAAGGCGGATGTGGACACGCACAGGGTGGCTGGGTTGAGGCACCTGTCGCAAAACGACGACATTCCATGCTGGGCGTCGCTGTTGCAGTGTAGCCGCCGCACGCAGCACAGCACCGTGTGAAAGGACATGGTGGCTGGGGTGGCATCGAGGATCTTCTCCAGCTCGTCAGGGTCCTCATACTGCCACTGCTGGTGCTGTTGCCCTTGCAGCAGGTCCTGCCGGCGGAGGTGGCGCTTGCGTTGCTTGTGGCGGTACACCTTGTTTCTGGCTTGCTGCACCACTGTCTGGGAGCGCAAGCAGTCAATGCCGTGCTCATCTTGAAGTTGGCACAGTTGTTGGTCGGCGTGCCACTCGCCAAGCGCACCAAAATCTCCCAGTGGAGGAGGATCCACGTCCATCCCAACCATCGGGCCCGGCGAGGATGGCGGGACGCGCACCGACGTCATCAGCTCCTCCATGGACCGCTTGGTGCCTGCATCCACCGTTGTCGTGCCACCGCTGTTGATGTCGTTGTTCATGGTGCATGCGGCTTCACGCACGGGGGAGCTGGGGCACGAGGGCGACGAGGGCATCTCCGTTTCGGAAAAGCTGCGATTCAGGTCCATTTCCGAGTCGGAGTTTGGACCGCTCACCACAGATTGGTGGGTGGCGGACGGTGGCGAGGTACTGAAAGACGAAGTGAAGTACATCATTGATGAGGACGACGATGGTGATGACGACAGCAGCGGAGATGAGGAAACGCGACGTCTCGGAGGCGCTGGTGGTTGAAACTGGAGCGTGGTCTGCTGAGGAGCCAAGCCGTCGCCGTTTGCTTGAGGCAGAACAACAACAGCCTCATCCGAGTCGCTCGCGGTTGAAAAGCTGCGCATGTCCTGCACGTCCACTTCTTCATCTCCACTCTGCTGCAAGTGCACGGGAGACGAGTCCGGCGTACAATCGTGGCAATAATCGTGGCAATCGTGGCAATCGTGGCAATCGCCTTGCTCATTTTGTGCATGTGCAAGGGTCAAGGAGACCTCTTTGCATCGCATCATGGGGTAAGCGTGGTACTGGTCGCCGTAATCGACGCTGCTTGCTGCTGATGGGGATGGAGCAGAGCGCGCCACACCATTATCAGCAGCATCAGCATCATCGCCGTCACATACACCGCCATCACTGCGGCATCGGCTGCCATCCACGACAGGCATCATCACGTCTCGAGTGTGTGTGCTGTGTGTGCGTGTGTGTGTGAGGGAGAGAGTGTGTGAGGGAGAGTGTGAGAGAGGCGAGTGAAGGGCACGATGGGGAAAGGGGGGCGTAGCACGGACTGAACTACTGGAGGACTTGTGGAGGGGAGTTTGTTTTGGTTTGTTTTGGTTTCAGGAGTTGGGGCTGGATGCAGGGGGGAGATGCAGGCTGGCTCGCTCGCAGGCAGGCAGGCGGGCGTCAGTGCTTCACTCTGGGAAGAAATGACACAGGAAAGCAAGCTTGTTGTGATGTGATGTGACTCTGAAGCGGGGAGCAGGGGACAACAAGCAAAGACAAAATCTGCACAGTCATTTTCGACCGAGTCATTGCATCATCATCTTGCTTGCGTGCGTGCATGCGCAACCTGATTTCAAGTTTGACGCGTTTACGCTAACGAGGCTGCTCGACACCACGACATACAAAGGTGTAGTGAGCAAGACCAACCAACCAAGAAGAAAGAGGAGAAGCAAGAAGACAAAGCGGGCGCAGCGGACACACACCACCAACAGGCGAAGATGAGCGAGGTGGTGGATATGGTTCGGCGGCTCAAGGAGCCGAGCACCGTCGACAAGTTTGTCAACGCCTACACCCTCAAGGTGAGTGAGTGAGTGTGTGTGTGTGTGTGAGTGAGTGTGTGTGTATGATGCTTGTGTTTGGGGTTTGTGGAAGGTGAATGGACTGCTTGTGAATGGACTGCTTGTGGTTGACTGGCGACATGGTTCCTCACTGCCCGTTTGCAGGTTCAGAATGTTGCTGAGTCGAAGAACAAGCTGTTTGCGGCCATCTCACAGGCCTTTTGTGATCCGGCTTGGTACACGGACACGGGTACCTTCAGCTGGCGCGGGAAGGTGCGCGTATGTGTGTGTGTGCATGTGCATGTGTATTTGTGTATGTGTGTGTGCATGTGTGTGCGTATGCAAACGTGTGTGTATGTGTTTATGCGTGTGCATGTGTGTTTATGCGTGTGCATGTATGTGTGTGCACGTGTGTGTATGTGTTTATGCGTGTGCATGTGTGTGTGTGTGCGTGCGTGCATCGACAAGTATGATCGTTTGCGTGCGTATTTTCACAAATGTGTTTGCTTCATTCACCGTTCCTTGTTTGATTTGCTCGTGTTGGCCCGTTGCCATCGTTACAGGCCATCTTGAAGCTGTTGGAATGCAGTGCCAAGGACAATGACAGCATACCCATCCCATCGCCGCTGTCATGGCTGCCAAAATCCGACAAGTGCGTTGCCCTCATGTGTCTGTATGTATGATAAGTGTACACGTTTTTGGGTTGTTCAGGGCTGTCATTCTCTCACCTGCTTTGTCACATATGTGTGTGTGTGTGTGCGTGTCTTGTCGTCAGACTGAATCTGGCACTGCTGCCTCTTCACGCTTACGGTGAGACAGGGCAGCTGACTCAAGTGCGGTGTGTATGTGTGCGTGCGTGCGGTGTTTGTATGTATGTGTGTGATGAGGCTGTTGATTGAGTGGCTCATCTGTATTGCACCCCTTTGCACCCTCCTCTGCCCCTCCCACTGTTTTATTCTTTCAGGATCAAAGCTTTTGGGTCCTGTGGAAG